CCCCCAAATAACACTTCGCTGTCTCGCCTACTATCTTGTGTAATAAACAACATCTTTTTGATCGTGACTTCTTCTCTACCGACCGCAAGCACTTCGCGTATTTCCGGGTATGAAAAACACGAGTTTGAGGGCCCATTAGAGGCAGCCGCGCTCTAATTTTTCGGAGCTGATAAAGCACGCTTGATCGATTCGTTGGGCAGCGTTGCTGCACAAAAAGAGAGAGAGAAAGAGAGAGACAGAGAAAAGGGAAAAAGCCAGTAATATCGAGGCACGTTCGAGACACGTTCGAGCGCGGTTGATGACGCATGTACACGGGTGGATTCTTCCTTTCTAAGCTGTGTGGCAAACAGTTTTTTATCAGCATCAGCGATAATATGCCGTCTTGTGTGTCGATGACACTCTCTTGATCTTCGAATTTCCGTTTTGTTCTCTCTCGTCGAGATTTCAGGAACGGTTCTCGAGGCGCCGCAGACGCGACAGAAGACGAGCCGCATGCCCCTTTCTGGATTGTCACGACCGAACGATGACTTGATCGATGACGCGCGTTTGTCCCGAAAGCATTGGTGGAGGATTCGTCGACGCGAGTTCCGTGAATCTCTAAAAATAGGAGGCGACGGTCGAACACGAGAGACTGGCCGCTCCGGCGCAGCGTGCGAGCGAGAAAATTTCTTTTATTTATTCCGAGGGTCGTACTGATCCGTCGCTGAGATGAGAATCTCTCTCGATCCGTCTTCAACTTTTCTTTTTGACCGAGACGCATGTTTGCTCGATACAATACTCGGATTCGAGGAACGTTCTAATGAGCGCGAATCTTCCGTAACGTTTGCGGCGATGGGAGCATCAATAATTAAATCGGGAAATCGAGAGCAGTCGGCATTGTTACTGATAATTTCGCACGGTACGTCACGTTTACAATTTAAATAACACAGACTGAATATTTGCTGTGAGAAAAAAAAATGTTAGAACTGTATAAGGTAAATGTCCCAATTTGTGACAACCGTGCCTATTTTCCTTAATAAGTCTGGTAATATATATCTCTATATTTATCTTAAAAAATGTATTTTTACTTTAAATTTCATGTTATAACACGCGTTAAATAAAATTGAAAGCTATAGTAAATACTAAAATATTATAAGTATAACCGTGCCGCCAACGGCGACAGTTCGAGCGATTACTTGCCGACATTTTAGAAATTGACTGTTAATATGAGGCATTTATTTGACACTTCTTCGGTAATTATTCTCTAATATCAAGCAATTGAAATCTGTCAAAGTCGAGAAGAGAATATTAATAAATCGAGACCAGATCAAGGTACGTCATTACAACAAATAGTACTTCCGTCGCTTTCAAGGAGATATTATAAAATAATTTAAATCTTATCATAAATTAAGAAAAAATATATAATTAGAACCACACAAATGTTCGGACTTAGTAACAAAATAAATTTGATGTACGTAACACGTATATCGCTCATTTATTGACTGATTTCCGCGGTAAAATTATTTCGCCGCTAATTGGAACGTTCACCTTATTGTACGAATTAAAAACAAGAAGCGTTTATCGGGAAATATGAAGCGTTGAGCCGGGAAAGATAAGATAACAGGTGAAAAATTAAAATGCCCGGTCTTAAAATGCAAAGCAAAAAGGACGGGGCCAAGGGGAGAGAAGAGACCAACAGGTTGGAAGCTGAAATGAACGGCTAAATCGCGATGCGATGTCCGTCTCATTTATTTAAATTATGAGCCGTTCAATCGCGCTTTGAAAACGTCGTAGAGGTGCGCGCGAAGAGGCTGATAGCGAGCCGACGATCCGGCCATTTGACGTAGCGATAAGGCTTCTGCGTTTTGATCCGTTTTGATAGTTCACTCGACGAGGATGCTGGCCTCCGAATGACCGGTCAATTATACCAGTCGACGCTTGAACTCTAGTGACGCTATCAGTTCCAGCCACCATGTGTATATCTTCGGCTCGCTGATGCGACCGTATATACAGCCTCGTTCTATCACCGAGCGCTTCAATCATGCGACACTTCTCAAGGATATCCGTTACAGAAGAAAGCAAAAAAGCGCCCGAAAACTTCACTCTCGTTCGTGGCGGGAGAACGAAAGAACAGACACGAGCGTTCACCCGAATCGGTTGTACTCGTATACGAATGTAGGTTTTGCGAAATCCGCGCGGGCGAATAAACGAAAAATATTTCAAGGTTTTTCGAAAACAGAACTCCGTCGTTTTTTGAACGGGAAAGACAGTTTCTCTCGGTCCACTTTTTTTTCTCGCACATACACACGCGCGTGTAAAATCGAGCGTTTTAATTCGCGACGCGCGAGCGATCGCGAAATAAACGATGGTATTTATCGCGACGCAAGTCGCAAAAAGGCGAAGACGACCGCATCGCTTCGTCACGGACGCGGAGCGACTCGTTCCTCATTATTATTATTATTATTAACGCGCAAATTTCCCCGGGGAGACACTTATCCGTGCACGTTTCCTGGAATGCTTCAAGATCAGCCCAATTAAGTCGCAACGAATAGCCGTACGTTTAGCGTGGTAAACGTCGAGTAACAACGAGTAACAAATAATCGCGCAGTTCGCGAACGAGCGGTCACGTTATCGCCGGCTTCCTACGAGGATGCTGCCGCAGGACGACGGTGGTATCGTTTCGCGAGGAAGCTGCGCTTCTCAACGCGACGATTCGTACCGGGCCGCGTAAACGCGTGTCATCGCATCATTCAATGCCCCGAGCAGCGGCTCCGACGACACGCTCTCGACTGACGCGAATTCTTTCCGCGCGGAATAAACGCGAACACACGCGGAGGAGGCTCACCTGCTCGCTGACGTTCATCATACCGCTGCGTCTGCCGTTCTCGGAAAAATCGATCCCTCGAACCTGCCCGCACGACAATGAGTGAGAGAGCCCGAACACGTCCGCGGCCGAGTGCTTACACGAAATGACTAGGTGAGCCCGCGAATACGCCAAGTCCGAGTCGGGCCGGCTCGGCTGCAACAGCTGAGACGACGAGAGTTGCAGTCACGTCGTCCACGTCGACGTCTCGCCGGGCTCGGGCCGAGAGAGAGAGAGAGAGAGAAAGAGAGAACGCGGACCGCGCTGGTTGCCTGAACCGTCCGCGAATCGATCACCTGCCAAGCCAAGGAGGATCTCGCGCGGCGAATACGCAGTGATGCACACGACGCAGTGCGTTACGCACCGCGGGACGACACTGTGCGTCGTTTATCTCGCGCACGCATCCGCGTTACGCCCGAGCAACGCGTGTATCTTTTACGCAACGCACGATATTCCCCACTTCGGCGGGGAAAATCGGTTTCTCGGTGAAAAGGAGAAAAAGAACGAAGCTCATTGCGGGACGGTCATTAGCATGAGATAAGCTTATTGAGATGAGATGAGATGACACGGACGCGCCCGTCGGTGGTGATCTTTCTCTCAGTGGAGATGCTTCGATGATATATACGTTTGCACACGCATTCAAGTATTCGGGAATAAATGACCCGGCGCAACAAACGTTTGCGTTTGCCACTTTGCGTTTCTCTGATTATTTAATTTCAGCCCCGCAGGCACACGCAGGCCGGCTGTTGCAGCACGATGTCTTCTTCGGCGGCACTCACGGTCAGTCGGACACCCGGCCATTCGTAACGAACGTCCAGGAAGTGAGGTTTCCAGAGTCAATTTTACAGGTCGCCTCAAAATCAGCGCATCGTTAAAAAAAATATATATATATATATTTTTTTTTAACGAAGTGACAGATTTTTATCGAAGGAAACGTGCGCGTAGATAGGCGCGATTTTTCCTCCCCGATCTTATCCTCTCTCTGCTTTGCTGTATCTTTTCCATGTGTACTCAACTTCTTCATCGTACGCACCTGTGTGTACCTGAAAGTCTTACCTCATACGTTGAATCTATCTTTATTGAGCAATAATAATCTACTCAATTCGATTCGTCTTGTTTATTTACGCCCCATATCGTTGATATGATTTCCGCCACGTTCTCTTTAATTGATACTCGAGATAGATCGTACTGAGTTACGGACGAGATCAATCCGTCGCGAGTACAGTGTTTATTACTATTGAGAGAACGTGTAAATATTTGTGTAACGTGCAAAAAGAGAGCGTAGATTTTATCTTTTATAGATTGATGTTTTCTTTCTGGGGGATTAGATTGAGGAAGAACAGTTGGAGAGGCAATAGGCGGATGCGTTGCACCCAGTTATTCCCTTCGATTAGTATCCCTGCATTCTTCATCGTGTTATGAAGAAAACGTAAACCATTACCGGGCGAGTTCGCTGGCTTGATTTACTCGCACGTAACACACGTCTTCGTTTGGGCGGTCCTGTAGAAGTTGGCGCCGAACTAACGGCGAATAATTCCGCGCCGCGCTTCGCTTCTCGCGCGGGCTCGTAATTTACGCGAGCGGACAACGGGGAATTTATTAAAGTCGAATTTCTCTAAATTCCGAAGAAAATTTTCTTTCCGGTGGGAAAGTACTCCTGAAATTTACACGCTCCTCTACTCGCGCGTGTGTAGCCTCAATAAATAATATACGTCTAGCTTATTCCCCCGGTCTTATCCGTTTGGTCTATCTGAGAACGTCGGCCCCCGCGTTCACGCTCGTGCTTTATCTGATCCGTCTCTCTCGGCTCGAGAACGTTTTTTAAATTAAAACAATTAACAATAACTCGATAATAATTGATACCGCGCAAATTAGCAATTCAATTATTTCCGACGAACTCTCCGCCGAACCAGCCCGCATCAAGATCAGAAACATACGCGGTAAAGAGTTTCGCGTTGAAAACGACCTACTGAAATTTCGCGTTACTTTAACACGGGGAATGTGTTACAAAGTACACAAATATAATATTAAATTAACACGTCGTCAATATATTTATTTGATTTACTTATTTATCTATGAGATATGTTCTTTTTTTTTCATGACTTTTTAGAGTAATGAAAAGAATACAAAGATACCAAAAGTAAAGTATGTGTCATTAACACATGTCAATATATGTTGACAAGAAGAATGTATTAATTTAACATTATATTTGTGTACTTTGACACATCCCCCGTGTTAAAGTAACACACAATTTTTCTCTGTGAACGCACATACATACATACATACATACACACACACATACACACACACACACACACGTGCGCACGTATATAATTCACCGTGATTCCGTATCTCGGTTTTGTGGCAACTGATTTCCCGATATTGCCGATGACGATAAAGCGACGCGCGTAAGTTCGGCCCTTGACCGCCATGATCGAGTGCGTATCGAGGGGCTTCGTTTCAGAAATTAAAAAAAGTGCCATCGACGGGGAATAAAGTCGGCCCGGATATTCCGGAATACTGCCGCGCCGAGTGCCATTTGACCGTGAGCCAAGCCGTTGACTTAGTTTCTTTTTATACCGTACGGTTTAGCTACGGCATTATTGTGCTATTAATGCCGGGAGTGTTGGGCATTGTTGGAGCAGTTTAGGGCGGAAGGTAACCCCGGCAAATGAGAGGCCGGGGTTGTCCACCCGGCACCGGTACGTACGTAACGCCGGGAACGAAAATCCGGATAACTTTGTGCGCTGCACATTGCAGTATAATATCTTGGTTCGCTGCCAGTTATGTACTCTTTGTGCTCTTAACTCTCGGCTCGAATTAATTGTAGCCGCGCGGCTACCCGTCGTAAACATTTGCCGCCGAGCGGCGGAGTGAGGTATTAATTACTCGTATCTTCGTGTGTCTTCGTCGTGACGCGACTCCGCGCTATTTGTCGATCCGTAACGATCGTTTGCAACACAAGTTGTTCTGGTCGCGCCACTTATCGGGAGACACGCGGCTAACGGAGAGGTGACGCTGAAATGCAACGATTAATCTGCGGATGGAAACTTTGACCACTACTCTACCTGGGTATTCTCGCGAAGGTACTGGATCGAGCGAAGTCTTTTCAGATTTTTTCCCTACTGATCTCTCTCTCTCTCTCTCTCTCTCTCTCTCTCTCTCTCCTATAACAATTAAAATACAACGTTTCCTTTGTGATATTTGGACTCATATTTATTTTTTTATTATTCGGATTATTGTTTATTTTTCCCTTTATCCTTTTTTGTTCTCTCTATCTAGTGAAAATACGATACGTACCGTCCAATAGAATTGAACGAATCAGAGAAGCGGTTAAATTTCCGTTTTGATTAACACTTTGGACTATCCGTTTAGTGAGAAAACTTTGATCCATAATTTCGATGGACTTTTGCATTCTATATTTTTATATTTTTATATTCTAAACTACGATGTCGCGCTAGATGAGATCGACACTAGTTATTTTCGAATTTTGCATAATTTTAATTGCTTTTTAAACTTAATTGAACTTGATATTTTCTACAATCGTCATGTGAGGCAAGTAATATTAAATTTTAACTTCGGTTGATTACACCAAACACTAATTCATGAGAGGATACGCGAATTACGATTTGTATTCTGAACGCAATACGTACGCGATGAGAAAATACTAGTGATTATAATTTGCGTGCGCCTATGAAGAGATTACCGTACATACATTCATGCGTTGAACTGTTGGCGTGATGGTTGTAGGCGCCGAACACTCTCAACGCGGCGGTATATTTTTGCGCGATAAATTGCGCATATATCGTGTCGCTTTATATCCGATGTAACAATATCATCATATTCGTATCACACCTTTTACATCAAATTTCATCGTTCATTTAACCGCATTTTATTTAAATAAAGAACGGTGGTTATAATTCATATCTCTTGCCGTTGTAAAACTCTAACGTTTCATTGTTACTTTAATTTATAAATACACATAATATATGTATACAATTCGTCAGTTGTTATTATCGAAAAAGATATGTACATGTGTACATTTTGTTTAACAAGTATACACAGAGCTGTGCAAGACGCTTGTATGTGCTTAGCGTTTTATTTGTTGAAAAGATAATTCCTTAATGCCGACGGAGTCGTTATAACTAAAATACGAGACATGTCGGGGGTTAAAAGTAAGCATAAATGTAAACAAATAACACACACAGATCGACAGGTCGACTTTTTCATTAAGCAATCTATTTGTTTTATTATTTCATTATTTTACCCCCCCCCCCCCCCCCCCCC